GGGCATGGAACTAGCTTAATTTTATGCTCCAACTTCTTAAAACACCAGGAAAGAAGTCTGTATATCAAGAGTTATATAAATTTATACACTAAGGGATACATGTACGTGTGCATTTATACATTCCTAGCATTTTCCTGATTAAAAAATATTTATTTCTATACCAGAAATCACAAAGGAATACACTATGACTGCAATCTGGAACTATTTGTTTTTCTGCTTTGTTTCTGTTTCCCAAAATAGCTTATAAAGTACTAATCAATTCTAATGGCAAGATGACCATATTGGAAAATCACTAGGAGAAGATACTTATTTGAAGTATCATGGAAGCAAATGTAAGCACCTGTAACAGCTACTGTGCAAATCTATTAGCATAAATTTTCTCATTTGGTAGGCCAAAAATAGTACTAGCAATAAGCAGACAGCTATAACGACAACTAACAACTATCTAATTTTACATGCACCAGGTACCGAATGCATTTCTTCATGTTGTCTTCAAGGTACCATATAAAGGAATGGTTAAGAGCAGAGGTTCTGGAGATAAACTGTCTGGGTTCAAATCCTGGCTCTACCACTTCTTACCAATGTGACCTTTTGCAAGTGACTTAATTCATCTGTAGCTCCTCTGTAAACTATATAGTATACTCTGTAGTATCTATCTTCTAAGTTGGTAGTAAGGATAAGATGATGTGTACAGAGTACTTAAGCCAGTGTCTAGGGCATAGTAAATGAATAATAAATTTGAGCAATCATTATTTACTCCTTGCTGTGGAGTGTTCAGTTTCCATTCATGAAATGAAATATTCTTATATCCATTAAAACTTTGAGATTTCTTCTGGCCTGGGGCAAAGAAGGGGGATGAAAAGAGTCCTGCATAGAACATTTTGCAAAGGGTGAAATATTAACATTCAGACAGCAGCTGGTCTGCAGGTGCTCTAATTAGTTTGGCCAAAGGGTCCAAGATTATTGATCTCAGTGACAGAACCCTAATGAACAGGTTTCCATAGTGATAGGGTCAGCAATCAGAGCCCGTGAAATCGCAATGTCTGCAGAGATTCCTACTGAGCCAATTCACTTTTAGTGAAAAATACTGTGATTCCCTAGAGATGTATGAGGAACTCTCTGATGGGACACTGCCTAATGTTTGATTAAAAAGAGGTGGGGGGAGGGGGAAGGGGAACCCTCCTCGAAGTTAAGAAGAAGAACCCCCAGCCTTGGAGTACAAATGAGCACCTACTTTTCAAAATTTAACAGAAGAGTTTCTTTTATAAGTAAAACAATGCTGTACAGAATTTGGTAAAATGTCACACTATTAACATTGACACCTTCTACAAATAAAAAGAAATTTTAGAAGAGAAAGAGCTCCCCTGAGGAAATGTCTATTTAAATCTAGTAAACAATTCCCCAATAATATATTCCATATTTAATTACCCTGATGCATCCACTCTTAATTTCTTGAAAGCAGTTTGTAGACTCTCCTCCTCTCCATCCTTGGCTTCAGATTTCATTGTGAAAGTTTTACACTACTATCGATGTTCCCGTTAATACTAAAAAGAAAATAAAATGAACAAAGTGAAAACAGGTGAGTTCAAACATATACTTTTGTTAAAATCTATATTTCTGATACTACCATTGCTTGTTAGGGGGAGAAAAAGCAAATTTCTACTTCTAAAAGGAAGTTTCAATGACTAGGAAACTGTAGGTTTTATTTCTTAAGAGAAGACACATGAAATAATACAGAAAAAGTATATTTATTATGATGGAATTTAAACTGTCCAAATACTTGATGCCAATATCCTATTACACAGTTTTGGAAACTACGTCACCTAAAATCTGTGTTTAAGTATACTTTTTAACAGGAGGTGAATCTCTCCAGTTGTAGAAGTCTAGAAACCTACAGACAAAATGACCTCTACATCAGAAATATAAGGGAAAAGCTCAACATATAGAACTCTGAGCTTTAAAACACTACTGAGGGGACTTCCCTGGTGGCGCAGTGGTTAAGAATCCGCCTGCCAATGCAGGGCACATGGGTTCGAGCCCTGCCCCCGGAAAATCCCACATGCCGCGGAGCAACTGAGCCCATGTGCCACAACTACTGAGCCTGCATGACACAACTGCTGAAGCCCACACGCCTAGAGCGCCTGTGCTCCACAACAAGAGAAGCCACTGCAATGAGAAACCCAACGAAGAGTAGCCCCTGCTCACTGCAACTAGAGAAAGCCTGCGCGCAGCTACGAAGACTCAACGCAGCCAAAAATAAATAAATAAATTTACTTAAAAAAAAAAACACTACTGAGTGTTTGTCTCATCCAGCTCTAAACATTTCAGGTAAGAATAACTTTGTGACACATGATAGCATTTCTCTAAAGCAATCCTGACCCAGATATCAATGTTTATACTCATATTAATATTCATACCCACGTATCAAGATGTTACCATTACTAAGGCAGGATTGCAAACAAGTTTCAATGATACTGCTTACTCCACACTCAACCTTTGTTTTCTTTAGCTTCAAATATTTTCTTACAAGAATAGATGAACTATACTTGCAACTCAAAAACAAACTTAAAACAAAATTAGCTAAAAAAAGAGGTAGAAAGTAAAGGAAAAAACTGAAATTATTCTATAGATGTGCCTTTAAATGATCTCCACTTAATCAACTAGCTTGATTAACCAAAGTTCTCCATTTCTTCTACCCTGATTTTTATATTTAAACCAAAAAAAAAAAAAAGATGGGAGAGAGACCAACCAAAGCAACAAGAGATACAATAGAGAAGTTAATAAATTCTTTGACTCTAGTCTCCCATTTTTTTTTACTCGGGGTAAAAAATTTCTTAATACCACATCCTGAACAAAGCATAAATCAATCTCTATAAACATATCACAGGGAATCAGAAAGAAAAAAAGTAAAACAAAAAATATAAGATGGGGAATTTTTGAAGCGAAGAATTCACTTTACCTTCTCTATTTCCAGAGTGCCCTTAGGCACCCTTAGAGGGAGCAGTGCCTCTGTGGATCCTTGGATCCTCTCTGATTCTATATCTGCTCATTTCTCAGGGGTGGGTTTGATGTTATTGTGAGACCTCTAATATTCTACAGGTCACGGTGTCATAACATGTTTGATATAATGTAACCATGTAGTACCAGTGGCAAAATTAAGAAGCAAGTGATCAAGACTATTTGTTTCATTTATTAATGTGTAGAAGGTATTTTAGGCAGATCTCTCTGGGGAGCACTGAAAACAGTGTCAAAAGAATTCAGCTAGCTTTCACCTCAACTTCTTAAGACAAAAAATTTAAATACACTCCCCATATGTATTTTGCTGGTTTACTTAACCAGTACATCAATTTGAGGAAACATTATCAGTTCCACATTTCACTGGTTCCTAATTCTTCAGGATTCAGAGGAGGACCCTCTCCCAGATACACAATAATGTCCTATATACTTGGGGAGAGGGGTGAGCAAAGATCACATATTCTATTATTTTTGAAGCTCCACAGCATCTAAAAGGGTGCTTCTGTAGTCTATAAACAAATTCTTCCTGCTGAAGAATACGGGGATACAAGGGAGATACAAGGGAGAACCTGACACCAGGACTGTGAACCCTATTCCTGTAAGGACTGGAATCTCATTCCTGCCCTAACACTGTGCTAAGATGCTCTGCACCCAAACATGGAACTTTTAATTACACAGTGTTAACTTAACATTACTGCAGGTGACCTCTAGATGTTAATACAAACTCAGCTAATATTCTTGTTGACACACTAAAAGATCCATCAGTTAAAAACCAAAACAGACCAAAATAAAACTGGCTGCAGAGTAAAACTTTAGGAATGAAGTTCCAACTAAACTAGTCTCAGACTTCCAGCATTTTGATTACTCACCTTTTCCCTCAGTTATATTAACCCAGGGCAAAGGTGAATCTTAGGCATGACCGTAAGAGCTAAATCAGAGCATGTCTGTAATTACAAAAAGGCTTATTATGCTCCTCCCTCTTCCCAGCTTCCCATTCACTCAACTCAAGAGCTGTACAACTAACTCCGGGAAACATGTACATGATTTGCCCTTCTTCATTAATATTAAATTTGTGGGAGGCATTCTTGCAGTTTTTACTGCTCTAACTTCTTGAAATTGAACAATCCCCCCAAAGATCAAACTTCTACTTTGTTTTAAGTCAAATCACATGGGGCCTCGGATTTTCCCTAACCTTTCAGAAAACACAAAATTCTTTTAAGTTCCTCCAACAAAAGGGCAAATTCCGGATTTTCTCTGACTTTCAACGAAGAGTATGTCTCACAATCTTATTTACATCTTGCAGTTTTAACCAATACCTCTTTGAACCTCAAGCCTAGGTCCAAATTTCCAGGACCCTGAAAAGAGCTGAGAACGATCAATAAAGGATCTGCGCGCAAGAGTGTCATCACAATGTTAAAGATTTAGAAAATTTCCCTGCCCACCAGGAAGTGCGGAATCCGGGGAAGAAAATCGCGTCCAGCAACTCTGGAAGACGCAAACAAGACTAAGTTGCAACAATCTGCCCCTGAGACAAAACACGTTCACGCTTCTCTCTACTCACTCAAACCCCTACACTCTAGGTGCAAGAGCACTATGTTAATTCTTTTTACCCAGAAACTGGATCGGTCGTGCTTAAACATGGGGAAAAAGGTCGGGACCTGGGGGGTTCGGAGAAAGGGGAGCTGTCCAGGGCCCTAGCTGTGCCCGCCCGGGGTCTCCCGCTGGAAAGCTGCTCCTTGAGGATACTCCCCGGGCCAGAATGAGAGACTTGGGTCAGGCCAATAGGCAAGGGATGCAGGAGGAGGCGGGGGCAGAGCCGAAGAGGCACACAACGAGACTGGGGCTCAGGAACTAGCGGGAAAGGGCGGGAAAGGGCAAAGGGCGGCCGAGAAAGGCGAAAAGAGGAAGCTACGGACGAGAGGGAGAGGGCGGAGGCGAGGGACGGGGCGGGAGCAGCGGAGGCGGGAAGGGGCGAGAGAGCGGAGCTCGGGCAGGGCCAGGCCGCAGCAGCGGAGGGGGCGCGGAGAAGCGCAGGCCCTGCCCGGCCCAGGCAGCTAGCGCCGGGGGAACAACGCGACGCGAAGCTGGACGGCCCAGAGGAAGCCGCCCGTGGCCAGACCGGGCCTGCAGGCCGAGACGCGGTGCCGCAGCGTCTCCCCGTCACGTCTGGGCACGCACCTCCTGGCGCCAGGGGCGCTCCGGTGAGCCAGTCCGGTCACTTCAGATCGTCTCTCCCCGATCGCGGCGCCTGACTGACCCGGATCTAAATCCGCGGAGGGGGCGACCCGCGCCTCCGGAGTCGCACTGCGCCTGCGTCACTCAGACACGCTCCCCGCCCCCTGTTCGTGCTCCTCCCACCCCAGTGACTAGGCAACGCGGCAGGCGGTGGCTGCGCAGGCGCGGGGCGATGGCCGCGCCTCTCAAACGCCTGACGCCCGCCCCTCGCGAAGCACGTGCTCCTGACGTCATTTCCTGTTTTTCTCTTCATTAGTCCCGCCCTCCGCAAAGGATTCGCTTTGGAACGGGTTTTGGGGTGTGCCTGCTTCCTCCTCTCGGTCAGGTGAGTGAGTGGGCGTTGTTCTTCGTTGTCGAGCTGCCTCCACTTCCCCGCGTCTCCCTGTGCTTGGTGCTCCACCTGGAGTCAGCGAGGCTGCGGAATTCTGCGGGGTGAGGCCGGAGTGGGGGGATTTTCACAGCGACGGAGCCCGTCTGAGCGCTTGGCCCAAGCCTCCTCGATGCTCGAATCTGGACGGCCTGCGACATCTCCAGGGCTCCGACACCAGCCCTGGACTCCCGGGGATCTTCCAGGGCTGCAGAGAAGCAAGGAAGTATTGGACACGGTCAGAACCGTGAACGTGACGCCGGAGTTGGAACTGAAATGCCTTCGCTTTAATACGCCTGTTGTTTGACTTGAGGCAACTGCGTTTCCCTCTCTGGGCCTCATTTTCTCCCTTCCGTTAAGTGAGGACCTTGGACTGTTTCAGCGAATCTCGTTTTTTTCAGGCATGGACTCCTTTGAGAATCTGGTGAGAACTGTAGAACACCTCGACAGAGAAACGCACATGCATACTAAATTTTGCAAAAAGTTTTGGACAGTCCACCTAAGTAGGTTATTTTTAGGGATCTTTTCCATTTGTATGACTCTGACGGTTGCTCAGATGGCAGGCAGAGAAGGGGTGGGCTGAGCAACAAGCTGCCACTCCCTCCAACACCGAGACTGGTTCTGCTGCGCTAGCTGTGCCCCTCCTCACTCACCACGCCCCAGCTCCACGTCTGCACTTCTCAGAGCTTTATAGGAAAAGATGGCTTTCCTCAGTAGAATGGGCTAGAGTTGGTTATGGCCCAACCTTCGTGTGAGGTTGTCACCTGAACCAAAACTTGACCCTCCCACTCCCCAATACCTTAGCTGTAATCACCTAACTAGATAGGCTGCTGAGAATAGCTTAGTATATTCAACTTAACTACAGCCAGATCTTGGAATGCCTGGCCCATGCCTGGGAATGGAATCTACAGGTCGTTGGATAAGGTTGTTAAAGCATGTCGCGGGTAAAACATTTTAAATCCTTCTTGTTCATAGGAGAGGCTCAGTAACTGACAAGGGATGAAAAAAACCTATTGGGACTTACCCGGTGGCGCAGTGGTTAAGAATCCGCCTGCCAATGCAGGGGACAGGGGTTGGAGCCCTGGTCCGGGAAGCTCCCACATGCGGCGGAGCAACTAAGCCCATGCACCACAACTACTGAGCCTGTGCTCTAGAGCCCGCGAGCCACAACCACTGAAGCCCGCGGTGCCTAGAGCCTGTGCTCCGCAGCAAGAGAAGCCACTGCAACGTAGAGTAGCCCCTGCTTGCCGCTAGAGAAAGCCTGCGTGCAGCAATGAAGACGCAACACAGCCAAAAGTAAATAAAATAAATAAATTTATTTTTTTTAAAAAAGAAAGAAAAAGTCCTGTTAATTGTGAAGTTCCAACATCAAACCTAATGATGCTAATAATGACTACCCTGTACTATGCAGCAGCCATGCACATGTTCACACATTTAATATTCCTGTGTTTTTACACATTTTACAGATGAGGATGACTGGGACTCAGATATTAGGTATCTTGTTCTAGCTCCCGTTCTATGTCACACAGTGCTAGGAAGTGACTGAGTCAGGATTTAAACAGTCTCAAAAGCCTGGTCACCCACTGCTGCCCATCTCTCAACATCTCTTATAAAAGAATAAGCAACAGGAAAGTATTGGGATTTCCCTGGTGGTCTGGTGGTTAGGATTTGGTACCTTCACTGCCGTGGCTGGGGTTCAATCCTAGGTCGGGGAACTGAGATCCCACAAGCTGTGTGGTGTGCCAAAAAAAAGGGAAAATGTGCATTTTTTCCATCAGAAGATGTCAAGGGAATTTCATCAAGACCAAATACACGTTTTTAAGCTGTCATTTGAAAGTATTCCTTCGGGTAAAACCACACATTCTTGAGGGCAAGGACTGCATCTAGATCAGTTGAATTCCCAAAGCCTAACACAGTTCCTGGTTAGTTAGTTCCTAGCTACGTACAGTTTTGGTGAATTCTTCATTTTACCTTATTTCCACCCATACAGCGTTAAAATCCTAAAAACTGAAACGTCTTCAAATGCTTTGTTTTAGGTAAGCATGTCTCCATCATAAAGTTGGGTGCTTTCTGAGGATGTGGCTCATTGATCGGGGAGTATTTGGAAGGCGAGAACCTCTCGGGAATAAAGTCTGTTAACTCACACTACCTGATGTGGCCAGAAATTTCAAGTCATTAGATACAGGCCTGATTCACTGTGTGGTACCTCATGACAGAATGAGAGAGAGAAGCCACAAAACGTGACCTGAGGGAACAAAAAGCCCGATCTGCGCTCCTACATCAGTGACACAGGATCTTTTCAGCCAAAGAAAAAGCCCTGAACTTATGTGGAGACTATATTCAGGAACTTAATGCACATAGTAATGCCATCTAACCAGAAAGCTATGGTAGCTGTAAAATTCCTTTAACAGTATACTTCCTTCTTGGTACATGAACCTTATAAGTGATTGAACAGAGGAAACCTAGTTCCATCAAATTATACTCAAAAGCAATCAATTTATATAGGAAGGTAACTTTTTTTTTTTTTTTTGCGGTACGCGGGCCTCTCACTGTTGTGGCCCCTCCCGTTGCGGAGCACAGGCTCAGCGGCCATGGCTCACGGGCCCAGCCGCTCCGCGGCATGTGGGATCTTCCTGGACCGGGGCACGAACCCGTGTCCCCTGCATCGGCAGGCGGACTCAACCACTGCGCCGCCAGGGAAGCCCCCCACTGGCTTTTGAGACCTGTAACTGGGGGCTTTTGGCTCCTTTGACAGTTGATTTTAGCAGCACGGCCCTTCACAGCAGTCTCTTGTTTGGGGAGGAATAGGCGAGAGGTGGGGAAGTGGAGATTAACTGTGTTTTCCTGTCATTCTATTCATAGCCCCCAAACCTATTATGATCTGTTAGTTGATAGTTGCCTTCCTCAAATATTGGCTCACAGAAAGGGGAGGGAATGGGAATTTCGGGATGCCTTGATAAGTGACCTCACTCTATCCCTCTAGGCACTGGTTCTGGTTAAATCTGCAGCAGCTTGAGTCCCAGGACTCAATCCTCAGAGCCTGGAGCGGGGATGGGAGGCTTTTCCTGGTAACTATTGATCACCAGCAGGGGGAGCGCGAGGATCGCAGATTCTCTTAAGTGTGATTAAAACCCTTTACAGAGTAGAGTGGGTTTTCAAAACTGTCGAAGACTGATAGTTATGAATCACTTGCCTTCTAACTCAAATTTTCATTCAACTTTGCAATTTAAACTGTATGATGACATCAGGAAGGTATTAAGGCCAAGAATTAGAATCAACCAGTAAAGCTACAGAAGAAAAGAATCTGTAAATGGTGAGGACAGGAAGGGATTATTGAGAAGAGCTACTGGGGTGCTGGTAATACTGTTTCTTGATCTGATGTTGGTTATAGGAATGTGTTCAGTTTGTGAAAATTCATCAAGCTATAACACATAGTATAGGTACATTTTTCTGTATATGTATTAATTTCAATAAAATGTTTTAAAAACTAAAAACAAAACCTCTATGTATAACACAAGATATGTATTGGATTAGGGTGACTGTTCTTTTTACCGCATAAACCTTAACCTTATCGGAGTCACAAGACCCTCTGAAAAAGACCCAAGGTTAAGAACTTTTGCAGCAGCAAAATGGAGAAGAGGAGCTAAGCATATGAACAGATAGTTCACCAAAAAAAGAAATACAAACATATGAAAAGATGCTTACTTTCAGTCTTCAAAAAAATGAATGCTTGTTAAAAGTGCACAGAGATACCAATTGTAACCTATCGGGTTGGCAACAATTCCAAACTTTGAGAGCACATTCGGTGGGGTTGGAGGTAGGGGGTGGGCAGTAGGCAACAGGCTCGCTCAGATATTACTGGAGGGATTGTGAAATGACAAGTCTAGGCATCCACCCTGTAGATGACATTTGTAGATCCATGCAATGACTTATGTAAAAGGTTAGCCATTGCAGCATTGGTTGTAAGAGCGAAAAGATTGGAAACAACCCAGATGTCCATCTGTACAGGACCGGGCACAGAAACCGTGGTGCAGCTCCATGCAGAAGCGCTAGGTAGCTGGAAACAGAGGAAGCTCTTTGTGGACTGAGGAAAGCTCTCCAAGATACAGTAAGTAAACAACAAACAAACAAAAAACCAAGATGTGAGCTAAGAATATATATTTGTATTACTTGTGTGTGAATAAAGAAACACTGAAAAGGTATACAGGACAGCAAGAGAAGCAGGTCAGAGCATGGGGGGGCGGGGGAGCCAGACTTTGCACCGTGGACCTTGGGTTCTGATGTTTGAATCCTGAAGTATCTTACCTACGCCAAACAACAGCCGCGGCAGGTTTAAAGAGCCCTGCTCTGAAGCTGTTGAGCTAAGCTTCTAGGCTCTCATACTTGTTATATCTGCCAACTGCGCAATGGCTGGGTTTGGTTTTTTAACTTTGAATGAAGCTGTGTCTTGATGAGAGTCTTCAACTTATTCTGCATTTGAGCTGCTGTGTCACGGTTTCCTGGCTCAGACTCAACTCCCAAGAATTCTTTCCTTGCCCTGCCTGTGCTCTAAACCAGTCTGCCGCCCTCTCAAGGGTTGATATCTACCTATAATTCATGAGCATCTTATTCTGCCTGAGGGAAGAGGAAAAGGTTTCACCAAAAGAGTGCTCCTGTGCCCTCAGATGCCATCTGAGACCTTGGTCTTCGTCCGTTCACCTTTGCCTGTCTCTACCGCCATTCTTTTCCCTTCCCACCTCCTTAAAGTGTCTTCCCTCCAAGACAAGCCCCCACTGTAACGTCACTTTGGTTCCTGTCTCTTGCACCTTCTCTGGAAACTCACACCATTTTTTCTGTACGTGCAAACATACATCATGTCTTCTCCTGTATTTAAAAAAACAAAAACAAACAAAATAACCCCACAAAACCCAAACCCACAAAGCCCCTTTCTACCTGGATTCCCCCTAAGTTCCCGTCCTTTTTCTCCCCATTAGACCATAGTCAGTGTCTCTCCTTTGATTCTCATTGTTCAGTCTGCTGCAACCAGACTTCCATCCTCACTGAAACGCTTCTGGCCAAGGGCAGGAGTGGCTTCCTTGCTACTGAATCCAGCAGCCCCTTTCTCAGCTCTCACGTTGCTTGAGTTCTGAGCACTGTCTGACGCTGGTCGTGGCCTCCTCCTCAACTCACTCCCCTTCCAGCTTCTGTGGTCCCTGCGCCCAGGGCCGTCCTCGCTGCCTGTCCTGCTCCGTCTCCTCCCCAGGCTCCTCTTCTGCTCGTCTGCGGTCCTCAGGCCTCGCCGCACCATGCTTCTCACCTCATTCACTCCCTGGGTGAGCCTGTGTCAGAGAATAGAGAAATCCACTCTGACTAGCTTGAGTGGAAAAGGAATTTACTGGAAGGATATCAGAAAGCTCACTCAACAAAAGGGAATGCTGAACAGCCTGGCCTCATCAGACTGGGGACACAGCCTTTGCCAGGGCCCAGGAATTCGCAGGCAGCCCCTCGCCATCAGATGCCACACGTTTGTGATCCCTCCACGCCGCTCTGCACAGGATTCAGGTTCTGAGGGGAGAAGCCCTGGGTGGCCCTGCAGCAGCCGTCAGCCTTTGTCCCCCACTACCAGTACCCGGGGACGACCACTGTCAGCATTTTGTCGCAGTGCTGTGATGTGCCTAGGAGCCAGGCTGGCTCTGTTAGAAGTCCGGCTTCACCACACCCACCCCTCTGTGTGGCCTTGGACATGCTGCCCAAGCCCCTGTGCCTCCATTTACTGCTCTGAAAAATGGGGGTAATGACAAGACCCACCTCAGAGGGCTTGGAGAGGATCGAGTGAGTGATTTGATAGGACGCTGCCAGGTTCCTGGTGAGTGTCCAACAAATGTTAGCTGCTATTATTATTATTATCTTAAATGTATCTATTTTTTTAATTTAATTATTATTTTTTTGGCTGCATTGCACAGCATGTGGGATCTTAGTTCCCCGACCAGGGATCGAACCCGCACCCCCTGCAATGGAAGTGTGAAGTCTTAACCACTGGACTGCCAGGGAATTCCCTAAATGTATGTATTTTTATTGCTGAT